ATAAAATATTCGTTTAAAGAGAAGCAGAGAGAGAATATAATAAATTATTTATGCATGATGCTACACTGACATTATAAATTATTTTATATTTAGAGTGTCAGTATAACAAAATTGTCTTTTAGTTACTCTAAACATTTTCTATTGGAACCTCACTTGTATCATTAGATAGATAAATTTTAATCATTTTAAAGTTTTACGTGATCGATTGGAAATGCTCTAAGGAACAACAATTGAGTAGAAGTGTAGTCAATATATATAGAAATAAACTATAAATTAAAAAAAAATTGACAATTCTCTTAGGTTCAAATATAAAGAAATTTATCCTTCATAATTTTTACATGAATAGTTTGTTTTTTTATTAAATTAAAAAAATTTAATTGAGTTCCACACAAATAATCTAGAATCTAAATTCTAGACACATCCCCACTTCAATACCAAAAAACATAGTAAGAGTTGATGGATAAGTTGATATATTGACCTATGGGTGTGCACCGACACCTTGTTGGGCTTGATTTCACTGATGCTGTTAGAACATTGCACCATGTTGGGCTTGATTTCACTGATGTTATTAGAACATACTTCTAGAACTTTAGCATTGCCTTTAAAGTTTGGTTCGAGGCTAATGAAATTGTAATTTAAATTTAATTTGTGGACTTTTTATGGTAAGTAAATATTTATTTGTTCATACTTACAAAAAGTGTACATGACTATAAGTATGATGTTTTTTTTTTATCATAGTTATTGAATTAGTAAAAAGCCTCAATCAAACCCTTAGAGATGATTTAGTAATTGACATCAAACTTTGATAACTCAGAAATATCAAGTTCAATCCATTTTTATATTTTTTAAGGATTAATCACCTTTGTCTCTTTAATTAAAGGCATGTTTTAACACAACTCAAATAATGATGGCCAACTGCTAAATTCGAAATAATAGTCGACATAAAGCTGTAAACCCTGTAGTTAAAAAAAAAAAAAAAAAGCCTCAATCAATATTAAATTCAAGATGAATCAGAAAAATAAAAAAAAAAGTTATGAAGGAGATGAATTTCAAAAGCATAGATAAATTGATGGGTATGGGTATAGATAATGTCTGGTGAAATGTGAATTGTTTCACATTTTCTATTTGCTAAGTTTGAGAATTTTTTTTTGTCTTTCATGTTAAATGGAACCGGACAAGGATCACACATGTGTTTTTAATAATCAAAATAATATCTATAAAATTGGGCTACTTTTATAAGGGATGTAACCAAAGTTTGTTCCCATTCAAATTTAGGAGTGCCAAGTTTATAACTATTCAAATCTAATATGATGCGAATTAAAAAAAAGTATGACTTAGCAATAAATAAATCAGATTAGTAATGAATAAACTTATTTCATATGACAAACTAATCTTCTTGGTATTGTATATATGTGATTTTTAAAACAATATTTTTCTTTCCTTTATCGATAATTCACATGATGTTTTTCGACAATCAATGAGATAGCAACACTTGTGTAGATTAAGCCTGATTTTTAACAACATCGAAAGAGGTTAGGAAGGATGTGGAATGTATCACAACCCCCCCCCCCCCCGGCGCGCGGATACTTAAGTTATTCATCGGTGTGAGAGAGAAAGAGATGATATGAATAGGGATGACAATTGATCGAAAAAAAAAATTGGTATTCGTTCAAACTATATGTACTAGACGATAGACATATACAGATATACCCGTATAAATCCTTTTAGAGATGGACTGAAACTCATCCTCTCTCTACCTCTGTTCCGTTAAACTCATAATCTATATAATAAAGTAATTTACAATTTAAATTTCAAAGTATAAACAAAATGACTTTTACTATTCGCAGTTGAGTTCGCTTTAAATTTTACTTTAAAGTTAATTTAACAACTAATTTTAATACCCTAAATTTAATAGGAAAAATAAACCCTTAAGGGTGTATTTAGAGTGACTTTTTAAAAGTACTTTTAGAAATTATTTTTTATAAATCCTTTAAAAAAAATAGTGTTTGAAACTGTTTCACCAATACTTTTACCATCACCACCCCAACCATCACCGTTATTGCCACCGCCACTACCACCATCACCACTATCATTGTCGTCGCTACCACCACCACCATCGCGGTCGCTCTTGCCGCCACCACTACCGCCACCACTGCCACCACAATCATTGTCACACACCATAACCATCACCGTCTCCTACAATCATCACTGTCACCCACCATCTCTTACCTCCATTACAAACCGATGTTTAAATTCTTTTATCTCTTATCTATGTTTGTGATTTGATTTTGAATATGAATACAAATATGTTTATTATTTACTATTTTTTATTTCTATGTGCCTTCAGCTATAGACAATAAGTAGTATATCTATGTAATAAAATACATAGGAGTTTAAAATTTTATCTCCTATTTTTCCTTTAAAAACATCACATCATTCAATTGTATCACATGTTCAATTATTTAACATTTAATTAATTTATAATTTAACATAATTTTTATGAATACATTTTCCCCCTCAAAAACATCACATAATTCAATTTTATCATATGTTCAATCATTTAATATTTAATTAATTTATAATTTAACATAATTTTTATTTCATACATTATCCATACATGATTGTGTACACGTGTTGAAAGCATATTGTCAGGTTATACATTTTGCGAAAATTGGGACGCTATTTTTAATAAAATAATAGGTAAAAATTAATTTAAAATGATTTAATGAAATAAATAAAAAATTGTTATTTGGTATACTAGGATTAATTTTTTGAATGCTCAAATTTTATGTTTCATCGTATCTTCATGCACGGGTTATAACTAGTATGTATGTGTGTGTGTGTATATATATGTATATATAATTCACACATTTGTTATGCATAATATTTTTGCGAGTTTTTATATTTGATCTGTTTGTTATGCAATGAGTTTTCATCTTTCTTGCAAATTCAATTGTGAAGCTTTATTATTTTTTTCTTAAAATCACAAAAACTATTTGTTACGAGCAAGAACGGGAATCAAAAGATACCTGCGGGGTAGAGACGGAAATTCAAATTTTTTCCACTAACAAGAATGGATTGGGAATAGATAAATATTTTTAAAGCCGAGTATGGGGATGGAGATTACTCTCTCACCTCTGTCTCGGTCTATTGTCATTCCTAAATACAAATACTAATGTGAAAAACTGATTTTCACTTCTCTACCTGATGCCCATCCATTGGTTTATTTAAAACTTAAGTGATATTTGACTTGGATACCTTGATATCTTGGCTGACAGGTCTGATAATCTTTTTTATAGTAAATCCTCTCATTAATCCATATGTGTGGTGTGACAGTCATGTCTATAATTGCCTTATTAGTGATTGTACCTAGATTTCGAATTGAGCATTTATTAGAAGGAAAGCATACATATGGTCAAGATTTGCATTGATGACACTATTCAGAGTTAAGAATTAAATGAGAGCACCTATCACTTGATTGATCTAGGTGTGCAAGGATCATGTCTCATTGTTAATGTTAATGGGATTTTGCATTGCCCATCACATGAAAGTGACGACATAGTCAACATTCTTTGTTTACTATCTTATTAGTTAATCTGAATGATAGATCGATCGATAAAGAATTGTTGAAAATCTCGAGCTCGAGGTGTGCACTCCTCCTAACATTCCATGGGCCAACAACTTCTAGTACATCATAAGGTCGATACGACTTGGTCAATATGTGCTCAAGGGATGATGCATAAGAAGTGAAAACAACTTCAATACACGGGTCATCTGTAAATAAGTATGTCAGATTATGTCCTGCCAAATATCATATAAATTGTTATAAAATTTAATGATCTTTTATTTAATTTTGCTAGAATATACATCTAATAGATTTTGAGATTAATGGTAAACCTTTGTAGGATGAATTTGTCGAGGAAGAATGCCTTTGACTTGCAGTTTCTAATTTAATGTTACACAAGGATTTTACTATAACAAAAGTTCAGAATTGCATAATCTAAATATAACAATTTTCCTAGCACCCCCTCCCCTACACTGTCTTTTTCTGACCAAAAGTCTCCCAACAACGACGGCTCAGAAAATCGACTGGCCCGGCCATGTGATCATCTGACGCTGGTGGCCAACCATGTTGCACAGGGTCACAATGTAATCATTGCTGGAGTTTGGTGTTTTTTATATTTTAGTTTTATATTTTCCAGCCTTTTATTTTATCATAAGCTCTCATAGCTCAGTTGGTTAGAGCACCCGTTTAGTAAGCGGGAGGTCTTGAGTTCAACTCTCAATGAGAGCAATCTACTAGTGTTTTTTTCATGCTGCTTCTTACATTATTACAGAGAGAGCAAGTAAAGTAAAAACTAAAAAGCCTCTGGACAATAGAACCAAAGGCACCTGGAGATGAAGATCTATCTCACCACTCACCAGGTTCATTTTTTTTTTTTTTTCACTTTCAAAAGTTATTTAATGAATCAATTGTTTTGAACCTGGAGCTTATGAACAAGCACCTGTTTTGAAGTTTAAAACTTATATCACGTCATCATCCAATAACTTGTGATTGTTTCTTGGAAGACAGATGCTCCTCGGAAAACCTACTGCTTCTTTTATTTCACAAATGATTGATTACATATAACAAGAAGGTCGATAAACCCAACAATTGCTTAATGAAGAAGTTCACATTACCACAAGGTGGGTATAACCTCTTCAACCTACAAATATGTATACATATGAATCACCTATTGGTACAATAACAAGCAGACATTTCCAACTAGCTAAATTTCTCTAAATCCAACAGTTTGGAGAAATCTAAATTGAACTTCTTGTTTGATCCCAGCTGAAAATAATGCCTATATACCCAACAATTAATTGATGATGTTGTTCACATTAGAAGAAGGTGAATAGAACCTCTTCACACAGCATACATATACACCTCTGAATCACCTATTGGTACACTAACAAGCAGAGATTTCCAACTCTTAGTTCAATCCTTCTCCAATGAACTATTAGCACCCTTCCAGGTCTCGCCATTTGAGGTAAACTAGCCCTGCCCGGTAATGAGAGTAGGCCCCTGCCACTACCAATATATGAAAAAGTTGGTGGCTATGTCCAGCAATGTCGAATTTACCTGGCATCCATCGCTCTGGAACCCTCGTTGCATAAACAAGCGCTCCAAGACCGTAGAAAGCCCCCATCAAAATTTCATATCCAGTTGTATGGTGTGCCTCAGGCTGATGCCAGAACAAGATAAGCTTGTGGAAAATGGGTGCTATCCCCAGTAGACCCATCCCGGAGAAGAGGCATGCACGAAGGCCACGATATTTGGGGCTTTCGAACACAGGAAGGAGAGAAACCAGGATTGTGCCAATTCCCAGGAGTGTTATGAATCCCATGTAAAGATTGCAGAAGAAGGGGTAGCACATGAAGGAATAGTAGACAGGAGGATAAAAGGAAGTCGATATGAGGGCAACAATGCCAGCATAGTCAAGCCTAAGCATGATGTATGATAGACGCTGTGAGTGACATAAGAGCAAATGGCATATGCTGCTGGCTAGCAAGCAAAACATGGCTCCACCCAAGAAAGCAAAGAATGGCCATCGTGTGATTGGCCTCTTCATCAAGGGAGCAATTATGTTTGCCAATTCCTCTTTCATGCTAAGCTGCATATGATCAAATCATGCGAAAAATATTAGCCACATTATAAATTTCAGGGAGGAAGGCAGAAGAAAAGGCAATAGTGTATGGCTGCACAGATAGGATGAAATGAGAAGCTACATCAATTAGAAAAATGCTATACTTACCAAAAAATTTTACCAAATCTTCCATACTAAATGATGGGGCACAATCTCCGTCATTGAATATTAATGGAACCCACTTATTTGATGGTGAAAAACTGTGACACGTCATTTAGGATGGAAATTTGGTAAGCATAGCATTACCCCATCAATTAACCATCCAATTGAGTATTGAGGTGCTTGATAACACAGGACAGGCAGATGGAATTTAAAAGTTCTGAAGACATTTAAATGATGCATTTTCTCATAAATAGTGAGCTTATAAACTATAAAGATGATCATCAACCCAAAAAGGACCTTACCAAAAGACAAACATCTGTATGGTTGGAATGGGAGAATCGCTCAGGCAAACAGTTTGTGAGCAATTCTACAATATACCAGTTCGATGGTGATGGTAGCAAATCCATGGAAGGCAATATTGACGTCTTTAACTCCTCCCGAAATGTTTGCAAATCAGGCATGTTTGGCAAGGAAGGAAGACAAGTCAAAAGTTCTGCATGCAGTTTGTGCATATCAGCTTTTCTCAACACATCAGGGAAATGGTGTATGGTAGGGAGATCCACAAACTTGGGAATCTTCATTGCAGTGTAAATGGTCAGGGTAAGGAAGAGGAAGAACCCTATTAAATGCCTGTGTCACACAACAGCTTATGCTTAGAGTAGATGTAGCATAATAGCACAGAACAGTTTAACTCAACTCTACTCTACTCAACTAACAAAGCCTTATCCCAACTATTTTGGCTTAGTTAAATATTAATAATAACAGCAATATCATTAATAATAAAAATTATATTGGACAATGGCATACATGTGAGTGGACAGAATTAATATTCATGTCAACAGCCTTCATTACAGACATCCAGTGGAGTTAAAGGAACTAATAGCAGCAGAAAAATCACGATATAGGAAATGAACTGCAACCTTGTGATGGGTAGTATTGTTCATAGTGTTTGGTTTCACCAGGCAATCGTTATGGACACTTAAAAATTTTGTTCAACAAATAGATAATTTCTAGCATCCAATCCTACCCTTACTCTCTACCCCAGCCCAAAATATATATACACCGCAAGTTTAATAATTTAGACCAGACCCCCATTACACGACATGGTTGATTAATTAAAAACTGAATTATTCAAGAGAGCACAAAGAAACCTGAGATTATGTATTGAATTATCAGCTATCCGATCCATATTGTAAAAGAAAAAAAGTGTTTGTGATTGAAAATGAATATGTTGTCTTATAATCGGCTGATTTATATGCCTCTTCAGGTAAAACAACTTCGACTACATCCTCAATTAGTTTTAAGTAATGATACCATGTGGACCTTAAACCTCAAGAAACTAGGGTGGTGGAAAAATGCAGCTCTATGTACTAGACATTAATTCCTCGAAGTGTATTAGAGACTCGGCTGACCATTCTGATTTTCGTATGATCTCAAGCACTTGATGACTTGTCACATGGCTTGGTAACTAATTAGGTCAGACAAGGTTGTCTAGCACTTGTCTAATTTAATAGATTGAAATCTTAAACAAATAGATTCACCTTAAAACAGAGAAGGCTCACAAAAAGTTACTAATCTGAATAAAAAAACTAAGGAAATCCATGAATGTTATGGAAATTAAATGAAAGTCGGTGAAGCATTCAGAACAGAATTCTTACGTCCATACATTGAGGGTCTCATTGTGAATGGTGAAAACGCTGAGTAAAGTCTGTTTCAAAGGCCATTCGGACCGATAATGACCAAGAATGAACTCATTGTCCCTTAAAAACCCAGGCAAAGAGTGGTACTCCACTAGCTGGTACTTCACTTTCTTCCACAATCTCTTCCCCTTCCCTTCCTTTGAAGAACACCCTTCTTGACGATTCTCATTTAACCCAGAACCCTCCTTTGTATCCTCATGATCTTTTTCATCCTTACCCATTCTCTGTTCAACCAATTAACAACTACTTGTTAACAAACACTCGCAATATATAACTTGGCAACTCAACAACAACAACAACAACAACCAAATTTAACTATGAATTGAACAGTCGAAAAATATATAAAAAAATATGCATGTAGTACCTAAAATGGAAGAAGAGCCGCCAGAGAAGAAGACCCAATTGGAATTATTCAGATATATTCCGAGGTATCTATGTCCCAGAGAGAATTTTTTTTTCAGGCGAAGACGATGGGAAAAAGATAAAAGCAAAAACAGATAAATAGAAGCCAAAGAACTGGGGAAGAAATATGAAAAAAATCAAAGACGCTAATAAATGGTAACCAAAACAGGTTAGAGCGTTAGTTTCTATGCTAACCGGAGGTTGTGGTTATAGTTGCGCGCGTGAGATGCAGAGAGAGAGAAAAAGAGATTATTCTTGGAGAGATGCGGAGATGCCCAGATCAGATTGGCCACGTGATTTTGGTAAGGAATTGGCAAGATTCTTGGAGGTGGAGGGAAAGTGCCCTTTAGAAAGCGATGGGAGATATTTTCCGAAATTGTTTTTAGGGCTAATTTCACTTTGTTCGATTTTAATTTGTACTTTCAAACCTTAAAATTATTAATTTATACCCTCAATATTATGAATTAATAGCGATGTAAATTTGACTGACTCATACTAACGTTCAATTTTTTGTTATTAATTGAAGTACGTGAATTATTTATACTTTTGAGCATGTGAATAAAATATATTCACTATTGTAAATATTTGTCTGTGATCAATTTGACACTATTTTATACATTGAAAATAAAGTTTTATCAATTAGATAAAGGTAAACACTATCATGTGTAGAGATGTCAATGGACCGAGTAAAAATTGATATTCGTTCGAATTTGTCCAGTTTGAACCGAAAAATAGACTATACGTATTGAACAATAGACGTATATAAGAGTCTCTTTGTGAATGGTACAAATTGAGATTCTTAATATTTAAGGGTACAAATTAAAATTTTAAATATGTTTTGATGGTGTAAAATGAAATTGGTCCTTATTTTTATACTTCTTTCATTATGAATTATATAGTTGAATAATTCGAATCAATAAAAAATGTATGAATACCAATTTATGCCCAATTAATTGGATATAAAATTAAATCAAAATCCCACCATCAGTCTGACCCCAATAATTACAAGCAGTTTTTCTCGTTGAGTTTGCATACCGCGCGAGTCCGTAATACTTTCGTTTAATGCGGGAACGCATTCAAAATTTTCTATCCAAGAAAACCTGTTTTCGAATTGATACAGCCTTCCTAAATTGCGGCTGGGCTACGCAGGTTTGAGCAATTCCAACCCGTCACATAAAAACTATTTTTTAATTATTTAAAAGAGTTAATTGTAAAAATTTATCTTTAACTTACTCTCTATCCCACTAACAATTTTATTTTACTTCCCCCATTTTTACTCCCTGCTTTTAGCGAGCGAGGATTCCTCCCTATTTGCTCTTTGCACCAAATTTTGTGGTCGGTCTTTTTATGATGTAACTTCATCGTCTAAAAATTAGAGCTCGTTTTCACTCAAGTATGAATTTCTCTCTTTCTTTGTGCTTGAGTCAACAAAAACTCTAGTACCCAATAAAAATCTAAGATGATTTTGATACCCTAGATGATGAAATGAAGAAATCAAAAGACTACTGTGGTTTGTTATGCGTAGGGAGGTAAAGAGTTTTGCTGATAAGATTTTTGTGATATTCTAGATTAGGAAGAGGAGATGTGTTCAGTTTTTATTTTTTCTGGAATTTTTTTGGTTTAGCAATGAATGACAGAATCTAAGGAAATGGTTTGAATTAAAACAAGTTCTAATTTGCATTGATCCTGAAATTTTTATATATTAGCTATGAATTCATTTTGTACCTATGTTTTGACATTTTATCAAACACTTGGTTGACACATATTATTGAAAGTTAAGGTTAGTTGAAGTAGTTAGTTAAAATAGAGAGCGTAGTTGGAATAAACTTGTAAAAGTGGCTAATCAAAGCAGAGAATGTAATATTTAAATATATTTTAACTAACTATTTTAGAGAGCGGGGTTGAAGTTGTTTCTAGTACCTTACTTAGCCTAGAGTATCTCTAAGGGTGCTCTTTAAAATAGTGAGTCAAAATATATTAAAATATTATATTTTTTATTTTAAAGAACCATTGTTACAATATTATTCCAACCATACTCTCTATTTTAACTAACTAATATTAGTATTTTTAAGTTAAAAATATTGTATAACTTGACACATCATCAAAATA